TTTAATTAACATAATTTGAAAATAATATTTTTTTAATTTTTTAAAAATAAGATAAATAAATATATTTTTTTTTATTTTATAGGTGTAACGTATTTGATTCTAAATCAATGAGAGACCTTGAATAATAAACCACGCTAGGCATGATGCTACACCAGGGGGTTAATATTAAAATATCAAATGCTGGAATATTTACTATGGAGCCTATTAACATAATTTGGTAAAAGAAAACACATCAGTCTAGGATAAACTTAGATCACAGATGGAAGCTTATTTTCTCTTTAAAAAAAAAAAAGACGTTATTATGGATTTAATTTTGGCAAAGGAGAATGAAGCATCAAGCAGCAACCAGTGAAGCAAATATACAAATTTTAGGAGACTCTGTTTGTGGCATAACTAAGACTTTAAGGCATAAATTGAAAACACATATGAGGTTTCAAGAACATTGTCATCAACCATCAAGCTTCAAATCACTCAGCGACTACAAGTTTTCCTAACCTTACCCAACGACCAAAACATAGTGTAGACTTCAGAGCAATAATTTCCAGGTGGGAATTTCTTCCTCTAATTGAAGGTGTAAGGACAGGGCAGAGCGTAGGCGCCACAGTTTCACAGCTATTACAATGAGGATGCTCGCACCCAATTACTAGTTCTCACCTAACTCTCGGTTTCTGAGAGACCTACTTCGTCAGAATATACTATGCTCATTCAATGCAATTGCTTCGTTAAGACATGTTACGATTATCAAAAACTGTTGTCCCATTAGACACATCATATCACGATCATGATCATTAAAAAAACTACGTGAATGTCTTGTCAAGACATATAAATACGTCCACACATGACTTTAAAGAGATATGATGGAAAAGACTAAAGAGAGAACTCTTTCAATAGTTTCCTTGAAAGTGTAAACCAGATTATAGTTAACTTAAATATCAAAATATCTATCCCGAAAACTATTCTCGAGGCTTTATAGGTTAATCTCGTGAAGGGATTGTAACGAAAGAGGTCTTGAAGGTTTATTGCATCAACAAAAAGTTTCTCTTTCAAAGAGAGTTTGTTTTTCGCTTTTAAGGTCTCTGCCTAATCTTTCTCAATATTTTTAACAAGTTTTATGCCATGGTAGAAGAAACAATATTGGGGTGACAAAATTTTTTTACCCTAAAAATGAAGTTAATATATCATGAGAGACTTTCAAACACTAGAAATGGTAAAAAAATTTATGTCAATTTTATAACTCTTCTTCGTACCTTTACAAAAATTACTTTTATAGCTAATTTAGATGAGATTTTATTCTTAATTGCCTAGATTTATTTACGAGTGTTTATCCACAAAATAAAGCTATAGCTTCAAAGCCATCTGGAGGTCTATTAAGGCATTGTGGTTTTTGTGTAATTTCTGGTTTCCTTTGACCGAATACCACCTACCATAACTCTACTTGATGTATGTTTATCAATAAAACTATTACTATTTGGAAATAATTTTTGTATAATTTTTTTTATTTTTTGTATAATTTAACAT